TTGCTTGGTCAAATTCAATGACCAGTGATTTAACAATAGTCCAATAAGCCTCAATGTCAGACTACGACATGATCTTCTATTTTGTTGAGAAGGAATTCCCCACCTAAGTGACCATCCTGTTTAGGTATTTTGAATTACAATTAACACAGGTTACAATTCAAAAAATATTAGAAAAATAATAAGAAAAATTTATAATCTAGGTTCTTTTTCATGTGCTAATGGAGCATCAATCTTGTACTCCATTGACAGTCTAACTGAAGTGTTAGGTCTTCTATTAATTGACAATCTTTGAGTAAATAGTTGACTATTTACCTTAAAGAGATACTAACAGATCCTTTCTCACAAGGACTCTAGATTAAGCTAGATAATGAGCTAAAGAAAATGAATTCTTTCTCACAAGGATCGTTGATCGAGCTAAATAATTAGCCAAGGAGAATGACCTATGAAGATCAATGTGAATGGAGAAGGGACAAGCTCTTTGTCAACATAGCCTCTAAATCTCTCTCTCTTCTCAAAAAACCTAGCTAAGAATAATGCTAGCCCCACAATTTTTCTTCACCCCCTTTTCCTTTTTGTTGATCATTATAAACTTAGGAGTATTAACTAGGTGATTAGTGAGGCTTAACGCCCCTTAAATGGGTGAGTTAGTGGTTAGCTTCCCTTAATTAGGTGGGCCTGATTACCCTTAAAGGATGAGTTAGTCGGATGAACCGCTTCCTCAAATGTGTCTTCTGAAAAGGCTATGGACGAGGTTCACCAATAATGACCATAAATGAAGTTCGTTGATAACGACCATGGACGAAGCTCATGAATAACAGCCATAGGATAAGTTTGCTAATAATAGCAATGGGCAAAGTTCATTGAGCGAACTTCACCAGAATGTGAGTAGCCTATTTTCTTTTGAGCATGAGTGATTAGGCCCATGTGGGCCATTGGGCAATCCTTGCTTGTGCGAGCTTCACTACAACCAGCTTCACAATGTAGCCTACGTGGACAATTTAGGCAAAACTCATTTTGGGTGAACTTTGCCTGAAGCTTCACTGAAGATAAGGTGACCCAAGTCAACACAGGTGATGAAGCTAATCCCAAGCCTGTCTTCATTAGCAAGAGCTTATCACCAGCTAAAAATGGAGTCATAGCTCTCATTCAAGAGTATATTGACATCTTTGCTTGGAGTTATGAAGATATGCATGGGCTGTGCCCAAATGTGGCCATGCATCATATGAATATTGACACCCGTATCAAGCCAGATAAGCAACAATGACGATGCTTCCACCTCATGTTGATAGAGCAAATCGAGCTAGAAATCTACAAATTCATTGTGTGTGTATTCATTCATGAAGAGGAGTATCCAGATTAGCTAGCGAACATTATTGATGTGACAAAGAAGAACTGCAAGATCCAGATCTGCATTGATTTCAAGGATCTCAATCTTGCAAATCTAAAAGATCAGTTCCCTCTCCCTATCATGGATGTCATGGTCAGAATACTTGTGGGTTCGTGAGGATATCATTCATGGATGGTTTCTTCTGATACAATCAAATCAAGATGCATCCGGATGACCAGAAGCACACAACCTTCAGGACACTCTTGAGAGTATATTGCAATAATGCTCTTTGGTCTAAAGGATGCTGGAGCTACTTACCAATGTACGATGAACACGATCTTTTATGAGCATTTACGCACACAGTGGAATGCTACTACATCGATGACATCGTGATCAAAAGTTATCATAAAGAGCATCATCTCAATGACTTATGCAAATACATCAATTAAATATGAACCCAACTAAGTCTTTCCTAGGGGTATCATTAGGCAAATTCCTCAGGTTTATTGTCACATACAAAGGGGTACATGCTGACCCAGAGAAAGTCAAAGCCATCTAAGAGATGCCACCTCTGAGAAACCTTAAAGGACTTAGAGGTTTACAAGGATGTCGAGCCTACATCCATAGATTCATAGCTAATATGTTCGGAAGATTCCAACCCTTCCAAAGGTTGATGAAAAAGAAGGTTTTGTTTGTTTGGATGATGTTTGTCAAAAAGCTTTCAATAAGATCAAAAAATATCTCATGAAGCCACCACTCTTAGTTGTGTTGGTATTAGGTAAACCATTCATGATCAACATCAGGGCTATGGACTTTCCCCTTAAAGCACTTCTTGCTTAGAAGAACGACGATAGTAACAAATAGGCTATTCAGTATTTGAGCCGAACAATGATCAGTGTCGAGCATCGTTATAATCCTGTTGAAAAAAATAATAATAAGTAGCTCTGGTCTTTGCAATCCAGAAAATGCAGCACTATGTAACTGGCCAATCTTTACACGTCATCTCAAGAGTCAAATACTCATGAAAAAGCTTGAATCTCTAAACTCCAAACTCGTGAAGCAGGCAATACTACTTTCTCAGTATGACATGACATTCGTACCTTAGAAAGCAGTCAAAGGACAAGCAATAGCTGACTTCCTCACAGATCATCCTATCATTGAGTCTTCTAAGCTCCATAAAGACATTTTAGAGGTGATGTCCAAATAAAATATCACCACAAACCACCAAATGTGACAACTCTACTTTGACGATGCATTGCGACGCAGCCATAAGGGGTCGATAGTCATAGGAGTAGGGGTAGTATTTATTGATTTCAATGGTCGCGTCCTTCCTCAAGCCTATTCACTAACTAAACCATGTTCTGACAATGTGGATGAGTACAATGCCCTTTTAGTTAGCTTACAACTTCCCCGGGATATAGGTTTTCAATATCTTGAAGCATGGGGCAATTCTAAATTAATTGTCAATCAAATAAAAGGAGAGTATGATGTCCAACACAATGATCTCTTACCCTATTAAGAAGTGGCATTGAAGCTCTCTCATTCTTTTGAAGGTTTCTACATCGACTATATAGCTCACCTTGAGAACACCAACATTGATCCTTGGCGTCACTCGCAGCTACTTTAGCCTTAACCTCTAAGTCAACCAAGTGGATTACGGTAGCTAGCCACCAGTTATGCTATGCTAAACAAAACTTGGAAGCTAATGAGGTGCATGCAATGCTTGGAGGTTTTGAGCCTAATAATTGGCATTACCAAATTGTCAACTATGTCTTACACGATATATTGCCTGACGATCCAAAGTGAGCAATCTCCATCAAAAGATGAGTCTCCCGCTTCTTCTATGATTCTGCCACACAGAAATTACATCACAAATCATTTGATAGCATATTACTTAGATGTTTGTCATCGAGTGAGACTCAAGAGGCACTCAAAGAAGCCAGAGACAATATTTGTGGAGCTCATCAACCTCGACCCAAACATCAAGACCAACTTAATCGTTTAGGCTATTATTGGCTAACGATGATCACGGATGCAGTATTCCATGCAAAGCAGTGCCATGCATGCTAGTTCCATGCAAACTACTTATACCAACCCCCAGAGGAATTACATCCAAGCATCACTTTTTGGCAGTTTGAGATGTAAGGAATGGATATCATCGAGCCAATTAGCCTACCATCTACAAAAGTCCATCGATTCATCTTATCCATTACCCATTACTTCTCCAAGTGGGCTGAAGCCATATTATTCAAGGAAGCCAAGAATTCTAAGGTGGTTAAGTTCTTGAAACACCACGTCATCTACCGATTTGGCATCCCTTAGAGGATTGCTCATGATAATAGACTACAATTTATCAATCGGTCATTCTTCAAGTTCTATGACAAATAAAAAATTCAAGATTAGGCTTCTACGTTGTACAACTCGGGTGCTAATAGTCTGGCTAAAATATTCAACAAAGCCATCATCAAGCTTTTGAAGTAGTTTGTCTCTTCCAACAAACGAGATAGGGATGAAAAACTCAGAGAGTGTCTTTGGGCCAATCGAGCAACAGTCCACACTCTCATAGGTGCTACGCCTTTCTCTTTAGTATATGGATGCAAAGTTGTGGTACCATTGGAGATCCAAATTCCATCATTGAGTACCTCTCTTGTAGAGAAGATGATGGTAGAGCAACACTATCAAAGGCATCTCTAAGAATTAGAGGTGCTGGATGAGTCGAGACTCAAAGCTTAGCAATGGTTCAAGGTGTATCAATCTCAGATATCAAGAGCTTTCAACAGTAGAGTCAAAGAATGATCCTTTAAATAAGGAGACCTAGTCTTAGATGTTCGTCTGCCCATGGTCATGACGCACTAGACCAAAGACAATTTTCAACCCAATTGGGAAGGCTTGTTCATAGTAGAGATGGTCTACGCAAATGGGGTATACCACCTGATCGACACAAATTGTAACATGCTTAATCAACAGGAAATTTCTTAAGAAATATTACCCTTCAATTGACCCTTTTTATCTCCAACAGATATATCAGTCATGTTCAAGTTTTTACCTCTGACCATGAGAACTATTTCTCAACCAGAATTATCCAATCTAATTATAACAAAAATCCCCTAGTGAATTAGCAAGTTAACACTACACATCTGTGTAATCCTAGGAGACCATCACCACCATTATGTTAACATTGCACGTCTGAACAGTTCACATTTCTTAGGATCTGACCGGTTAATACCACACATTTGTCAATCCCTCTTCTAAAAATCGATCAGTTAACATTGTGCTTCTATTAATTTTTCATACCGTTAAGTTAACACTACACTTCCAAACGGTGGTTATCTCTTGGACTCCCTTGAACCCGACTAGTTAACAATACACCTATGTCGATTGTTCTATTTGACATGTTAACACTAAATCTCTATCGAATCCTCTAGTACTATTATATTAACATTATATCGCTGAATAGTACTAATTTTATAACCATGATTTATTGACACTACACCTCTATCAGTTCAATTACGTCGACTAGTTAACATCACACATTTGTCAACTTCCATCTTTGCGAGTTGAATCTTATAACTCATCCATTCTCTCATCAGTGTCTTTAGTGATTCTAAAATCCATACAATATGTTAACATTACTATCGCTCAAATCCAAAAGTAAAATTCTTTATTGCCAAAAGTGAACTAATTCATTATAAAAGTGAGTAATGCAATACAAAGATAGGCCAAAAGCATTAGTGATACAAGGACCTAATACGCTCTACACATTAGGCCATTCCATTTTTTCACACATCAAGGGTGTCGTTCAAAGTTTGCTCCTTCAAAACCTTTGAATTAGCTGGAACTGCTCTGGCTTCGACAACATCCAACCGGCCCATTCGATCTTCAAGCGTTTTGCTCTTTGGATTTGCTCAGCAACCATTTGGCAAACTTAACCTCAAGTTCCTCCTTTTTCTTCTGATCCATCTCTAACATAGCTTGCCCTTTGGCGATAAGGGCCTTAGCCTTATTGATAGTGGCTTCCTTATCAAAGATGGCACAGGTGATTTTAGTATTTTCACCATCGATCTTAAAAAAATGAGTGGTTAATTCTTAGAGTCATTGGTTAACCTCTTCTACCTCCTTGTAAGCAGTCTCTTCAAGCTTATGCCACTCTACTGTGAGGCAATCAAACTTGAGGTCCATGACAATGGCAACATCGGCCTCACGAAAATTCTATAGTTCTAGAAAATAGAGTTCAGTTTGGTCGTTGATCTTCCTCAAAGGCTCCGTGCACTTAGCTCTAGCAACTGATGCAAGGATGTCGCCTGACTCTTTAATAAATGCTTAATGTGGGAGGAAAAGCCTATTATGGGAGTCAGAACACTCTCGACACTCTGACTGAATAAATTCATTAAGCTCTTAGTTAGAATTTAAATATAGTTCAGTTGAGTTATTAGAGTCCGGAGATAAAGGAGTATCTTCTTGCCTCGACGGGCCTGCTTCAGTCACCATAGCTAAGTCCTCAGTCATGATGGGGGTGCAATTGATGTCAATGGTAATTGAACCGCACCTAGAAAAAAAATATAAAGTGAGTAAAGCCAAAATGTTCGAGACATCAATTGGAGCAGAAGAAACCAAAGTATTAGTGACCAAAGACTCATAGCGATGTATGACCAACGTTGTTTTTGTAGTGTGACTGTAGGCTCATCATTAATGTTGGTGATCTTGGTCTCTGGTCTAACAGAGTTTTCCACCACCACCATGGGTCCACTCTCAATTTGAGGTTCAGATCTTAGTAGGATCCGTATCTCATCTCCTTAGGGAAATAGAGAAATTCAAGTGTCTTCATCAAAGTCAGATGATTCCTCAATAGAGATCAAATGTTTGGTAAAGAGTCTGGTGATGGGAAAAGCCATGGTCATCGTAGTGCCAACTTTGGGCTTGGGTTCAGTATCTATGGAATAAAGGAGATGAAGTATTAGACATCAAATTTGAAATAGCTACATCTTCCCTATAGGTAAAATCATACCTGGTATGTAAGATGATCCACCTGCATCGTCTCCTCGAGCGGATTCATCAGGATCAGTGATATAGGTCTCGGTTTCATAGTTGACCCTTTCTTCCTCTTCTGAATCAACCCAATCAAATTGTGTGGATTCCTTATCTGCAAACAAGGAGCATACATTATTAGAACGTGTATTTATTGAATCAAAATGATGTTAAAGAAAGAAAATTTCCTAAAACAATCGCATGTTCGGCAATTGCTTCATGTGCTAAAGCTTCAGAAAACTTTTCTTTCAACTTAGGAGATTTCTCTATTATTAGAGATTTCTCCTTTAATGGCAGCTCCAAATGTCGGCATTTAGGTCGTTCTTGAGGTCGTTGAATTTGCCGTGGCCTCTTCCTATGAGTTCCTCTATTCATCCCTTCTCGACGGACCATCGATTCCCATATACTGATTCTAAAAAGTCTAGGCAATGGTGACTTTTTCATGGTGTATCTGAGTCATCATCATCCTCATCTAGCCATGCTTTTGCTAGGTACTCTTGGAACTCAGGTGCTCAAATTTTTGATCCCTTCTTAAAAGCTTTTTTGTACTTTCGGATAATCCACTTTACTCCGGTCTTGTTCACATTGAAGTTCAGATTGGGCACATTCACTGCACTATACCACGTACAAAATCCTAACATCATATAATAGTTAGGAACATTGTAAGGTAAGATGAATGTAGCACTCGTGCCTCTAGCAGTAAAATGATACCAAGCACGGGCTCCATCAATGAGACTCCTAGAACATAGCAGCCCTATGTTTGGAGTACCAACGTAAAGTTGTTCATACCCAAATTTCTGCGCAAAATGGTAAGGAAGATAGAGCTCATTGTAGCACTCAGTCCTATTCAGGCTAGTGATGAGATGTCCGCATCTAGTATTAACCAACCAGTTGAATCAACCGCTAGTTAAATAGGTGAATCCCTCGGATCCAAGACCGTCTTCAAACTCATCACTAAACTTAACCCCAACAATGTCAGGTAAGCACAGTAGAGGCGATAACAGTCCTTATTCTGCAAAATTTTGAGAAAGTCCACAGCATAATTGAACGTCCATTTTGAGGATTCATACTACTACAGTAATGCGACCACCTCTTCACGCCTTGTGGCAATTGGCATGAGTGAAGAGCAGTGAAGCGTATATCACACCATTAGATAGGTGTATAGTACCTCCACCTTAGGATTTGGTACTTTTTCTCTCACGCAACCATCTTGCTAGTTCAGGTATTATATTTTCAACTCCCTCAATTCATGATGGATGTAACTAATCATAGCTAGGAGTAAGGCCAAATTGTACCCATGAGCAAGCAGAACTATCGAGTATAACACATAAATGGAAATGTAGTCCTTTGGCCAAGAAGGCATGACACATCCTTTCAGCAAATCTGAATGGAACCTCGTAAGTAAAGCTTGGGTAGAGATAGGTTCTTCAGCTTGATGATGGAAGCCTTCAAACTTATCTCCTGTGTGGAACTCGCACTTGCCCAATTCAACTGTATGTAATATAGGGTCATGCTTTGGTTTTCCATCTCAAGTCCACTTCTTAGTGGAATGGACTCCACATTCCCCTTCATGCTGATATTCCTAACGAGGTCTGCACAAGGCACGTGAGAGACGTGTGTACTACATTTGCAACCATATGATGGCAATGTAGATGGGTAAACTGTATTTTATTTAGGCTAATGTTTAGCCTTGATGCAAGAAGTGAACGCCCATGGACTAAACACTTCAAACTGGCCTAAATTTGTGCCCATAACAAGTTATAGCAAGGTTTACTTAACTAAACATTCAAACCTTGCAAAACATCTCATCTCAATATGACCAACCAAGTCAAGAGTTGATCAACTTCCAATTTGGACTTTAAGGGCAAGTTGAAAAGTGTCATAGATTCGGCCAATTCATGATCAAATTCTGTGCTAAATTCAAACTCATAAGCGAAGTTCGCCAATTGATTAACTTCACCGACGAAGTTCGCCAACCAATCGAATCAGCAAATTTTAACCATAGTTACCCACATGGGCCACGTCACCTATGAATCAGAAGCAATGGCACACCCACATCCAAGTGAGCCTCTCCCAAACACTTTTAGTGAGCTTCACCAACCAATTAATCAGTGAACTTTGCAAGATCAGCTGTTTGAGGATTATTTTCTAGAAGATAACCGCACCCACACTATCTCTTACTTTAATGGCCACTTAATCCATTTTTAAAGGTTATTAACTCCCTCTCTCTTATCCTATAAAAGGAGAAGGAGATTGTTCGTTTGAGGATAACCACTAGAGAGACACACATGGGTGTAGGCGTCTAAAAATGCCTATGGGTGCCCGCACACAGCTCAAGACAAAGAGAAGGTGATGAACGTCGTTATCCAAATCAAAGAGGATTATCCAACGCCGACAAGCGCATGAAGCGAATCGGCAAACTGTTGATGACACGACAACGAACCACCACAATGGAAAACACCAAGTGGACCGCACGCGTTAATCAACTCAAAGCGTACAAACGCACCCAACAGTCAGTTAACACGCACGCATCATTCAGCTCGTGCATGTCAATCAGTGCGCGCGTCAATCAGTTCACGATGGCGTCAATCAACGTACATTAATCAACTCGCATAGAGCATACAAGTCAACACGACGGATGAGTAAAACGGGAGAAACTACAAGTCCCGGAAGATCGGAAAAGTCGTAAAAACACAAGAAATCAGCGAAACTCAGCGCGCCGCGCAGGACGGACCAAACCGACCCGCGCCCGTGCGGGTCGGAATGATCCGACCCGCGCGAAACTACAAGTCCTGGAAGATCGGAAAAGTCGTAAAACACAAGAAATCAGCGAAACTCAGCGCGCCGCGCAGGACGGACCAAACCGACCCGCGCCCGTGCGGGTCGGAATGATCCGACCCGCGGACTTGTCCTGCGCGCGCTGTTTCGATCGGGTTCGGTTTTTGATGATTTTTCTCGAGATTTGTTGGTTCCAGAGGTTCCCAACTGACTTGATATCATCTACAAACGTGGTTAGGCTGTTGTCAACTGAAGATAGAGCCAAATCACTTGTTCTCATCCAAATAACCGCATTCGAGGCCTATAAATATGAGTCAAAGGCCTTCATTTTTCAGGGGCGATTGATTATCAAGACGAGGAGGTGCTGCCGGATTGAGGAGTCAAGGAGCACGAATTTCAGCGAAGGCAAATCAGATCCTGGCGAACTTCGGCATAAAGAAGGAGCTATTCGAAGGATCTGAACCCCGTTCGTCCGTCCCTTGAGATTAGGCTTGGTCTTAATCTCGAGAAGAGCCATGATTTCGCTTGGTCGATCTCAGCGCTTCAAATCAAATACTTCCTCGGCGAAGGCGAAGCTCTGCCGAATTTTCCATCAACCGGATCCAGATCTAAAGCGGTCCACGGATAAACCCCGGCACAGGCAAAGATCCCACGCAAGCAGAAGACCGATAAACGATCTCTGCGTTTGTTTTGACGAGAGTTGTAACTTTTGTTTTCATTGTGTAAAAGTCTTATAAAAAGACAATCTTTCTTTGTTTTCATTGTAACGATTGAAGTTGTAATGAATATCGCAATGAGTACAACAATTTTCGACGCAAACAATGGGTTTCTTCTATTTTGATTTTAAAAGAAGATTGAGATGTCTTCTTGAGGAATCAACTTAGAAAATCACCAATCAGCGAAAGGCCTATCGTCTTAGTAATAGGGTACAAAATCAACGCTCCATCAGCATGCAGAAAAGAACCTAGGAAATATAAATTTTTCTTGCTTCTCTTTTTATTACAATCTGAGTTAATTACAATATAAAAGACCTAAAATAGGATGGTAACTCCACTAGGGACTAGCTTCTCCTCCAACGAGAAAGTTGTGTTACAGTCTGACACCAAAACCATCAAATCTTTTGCTGAATCAGTGGTCACTGAATTTGACCAAGCAATGTCTGAGAAATTTATTTCCTCAAACCAATCATCAACAACAACTGTGAAAAGATGCCACAAAGGTAGTGCGAACTCAGGGTCTAAGTTGACACCCGCTTGTGTAAAGGCAAATTTCTCCAAAGATGGTCTAAGCTTCCTGAAAGCCAGACGAACTTCACCCAGAGTGAAGAAGCATCGACCCTCACCTCGAGTGAAGGTCAAGACGTTATTACGTCTTTGGATTTTTTAGAAATCAAACCACAACGCATTTGGGAGTTTGATTTAAGTATCTCATGATGCTCGATATGCCTCCTCCATAGAAGCAAAGAGTAGGGATGAATCCTCATATAAATTCCTGTAATGGAATAATATCACTAATGGTGATTCATCTAACATCGCTAAACGAAAGTATGGCCAACGTCACCGTAAGCAATGCTCACACACCAAAACTCAAAGCGGCGAGGTTGGATCTAAAAAAGCCATCAACTTGGAACTATTAGTGATTTGATAGAGTTCCTATCTCTAAAGAGGGTTCTCCACTTTCAGCATTGTGTGACTCTCAGAGAAGTAGTTTTGACAGTTCAAAAGAATGATTAATGAAAAGCTATTCTTGAAAAGGAATCAGCTTTTAACCATCTAAATCACAATTATGAACCTTTAGAGATTCAGACCAAAAGACGACGCTGCATTCGAAAGGGTAAACACCAAGAATTGACTGTCAATACAATTAGTGTAGTTTCTAGAGATTAGGAAGAAGGCAGATAGTCCATCCAACCCGAGATATTCTCCTAGCATCGAAACCATATTGCCAGAGATCGATGTTGTTTATCGCCACACAAGATCTACGCAGAGAGCAGTAATTCCTTTTGACTACTCCTTCCTCCAAACACGAGCGCCACAGGTTTCGTCCCAAGTTGACCAACCCCCTTAACTCAGCCATAGTGTCAAATGCTACTCTAAGTTTAAGTCAAGAACAACAATGGGTAGCAGATATGACAGATGGAGACAATCTTCTGGCTCAAATGGCAGCTCAGAAAAAGGCTTCATCTAAGCGATTTGAACGTTTAGAGAAAATGTTTGAATAACAGTTGTCAACTTCACAACCGCATGAAAGGCCTAGAGGGGGGTTGAATAGGGTTTAGGATGAATAAAATGCAAATAAAACTAATTCCAACAAGCCACACACAAAAAGAAGTATAATAACAATAATAAGAGAGTAGGGATAGAAATAGTTAGCCAATTGATGACGCGCGATGTGTTCACGAGGTTTGGTCCGCTGACCTACATCCCCGCTCCTCACTCTCGAGGAAAAATCCACTACACACCCGGTTTGGAAGCCGGAACTTCTTCTACACAACGATCTCCTTTGAGATCTCACAACTA